CTCCAAGCCCTGTCCAACCTGGCCTTGGACACTTCCAGGGATCCAGGGGCAGCCACAGCTTCTCTGGGTAACCTGTGCCAGGGCCTCCCCACCCTTCCAGCCAAAAATTCCTTCCCAATATCCCATCTAACCCTGCCCTCTGGCAGTGGGATGCCATTCCCCTTGTCCTGTCACTCCATCCCTTGTCAACAGACACTTCCATGTTTCTTGTAGCCCCTTCAGGCACTGGAAGGCCACACTTAGCTCACCCTGAAGCTTCTCTTCCCCAGGCTGGACAATCCCAGCTCTCCCAGCCTTTCCTCACAGTAGAGCTGCTCCAGCCCTCTGATTAACTTGGTGTCACTCTGGACTCCTCCCACAGGTCGGATCACTCACTTCAGCTCCTTTTGTTCAGATCTTGCGCGCTGCAGAGCTTCATTTTGCTGGCACCCAAGAGCCTGAACCAGCCTACCTTGAGGCCTGGCTGCTGGAGGATGCACTCCCAGCTTTTAAGGGTCAAAAAAACACAGGGCTTAAAGAAAGTACCTTTTCTAAATGTTGTGGAGGCACAAAAGCTGTGCTTGTCCATGTTTACAAACTAGTCTTGTCCATGTTTACAAACTAGTCTTGTCCATGTTTACAAACATCACCCTGGACCTGTTCAGCATTTGAGCTTTCGTTTTCCCCGGGTCAAATTGTTTTGTAAATCCAGAGTCACGTTGGATCAACAGCAAATTACAGCAGCATAATCCCTGCAGAAATGTTAGGAAACTGCCCCAGGATTGTCCCTGCTTTGTGACGCGGGTTCTGTGCCCCTGTCATCCCGACCCTGGGCTATCACAGCCCCTTTGTTGCCCTCGGGAGGAAGGAAACAGCCCTATCACTGCCCGCCGGGCTGACCCAGAAAGCAGGAAAAGGAGGGGAACCCGAGGGAAAGGGAAGGGCACAGAGAGTCACGGATGGGGTCAGCGCCGCAGGGCTCAGCTCTGAGCCTCCAGGGGACTGCAGGCTTTTCCAGCAGGAGAGACAAAGCTGGATTTACAAGATTTTACCTCTTTTTAAGCTCTTACCTCTCACTTGAGCCTCTGAACTCCCCCAAAACCTAAAGCAGCGGAGCTGCGAGTGTGAAGCCTGTGTGCAGGGTGGGTTTAACTCCTTCCCTGGGGCAGCTGCAGCTCGTGAGCACAGGGATGGGAGCGGGAGGGACTGGGCCCTCTCAGCCCTCACCTCCTGCCACCCCACCCTCCTCACATCCTGCACCAAAGCCTTTCTCACCGCTCATCCTGCTCCACCTCCCTGCTTCCCTTCCGTGGACCTGCACTACCCCTGCTCCCAGGAAATCCTCAGGGCTCATCCTGCACCCAGGGTGTGCTGCGAGGGCACGAAGGGAACATCGGGAAACAATCGGCACTGCCCAAACCCCTCCCGTGTCAGCTGAGGAGAATCGCTCACCCTTTTGGATTTCATTTTAAAAGGAATATCAGAGCTGTCATCACAGCGAGGGTAAATGAGGAAAGGCCGGATCTCGGTTCCTTCCAGCCAAACAGAAAATATCGGAGACACACATGGCAAGTGTCCCAATAAGAAAAAAATTAGCCTGCTCCCTCTCCTAAATTTTACACCAGGCAGGGACACCTTCCACTAGTCCAGGTTGCTCCAACCCCAATGCAGCCTGTCCTGTGTGGATGTGAAGATACCAACTCTTAATTGCAGAATTTATTTCAGGAAGAAAAATCATGACCTCAGACAAAATTAGGACCATTTATTGAGCTGTGTGGCACAGAAAACAGCTTTCTAAAGAATGATATTATACCTTTATTGTAATAGTTATAATAATGTAAAAATTGTAGTAATTTCCCTCACTGAGCGCAGCCTCAGAAATACTGAATTAGAAGTTCTATGAAAAAGCATTACAGTAATAAAAAGAGACTTAAAGCTCCACGGGAGACAGTTTAAGTCTTCAACCAGAGTTCTGATTTACTTCTCTGAGGTCCCAGCCCAGAAATATTCCCCAATACACGTCCAGAAGCATAAAAATAGACTCCCAGCTGCACATGCAAATACCCATTTGCTTGGATGGTAACAGAGTAGATCATTAAAACTGAGCATTTTTAACACAGAAAGGGTTGCAATCTTTTACATTTTACTGCATTCAGTGTCTCCAAGAGATGCTTCCAGGATCAGCAAGGCAAGAAGCCCACTTGTATCCCAAAAACCATCCTAAGGGAATCTGGCCGCTGTCTCAGTTCATTTTCTTCCTGTTACAAGAGATATGACCACACTGGTTCCAAAAAGCTTCACTCAGTGAGATTTATTTCAGGGAGGAATGCTTCCCTCTGCTTCTTGTGCACAGTTTTTGGAATATTTCAGCTGTGTCCCAGGGAAAGCACGTCTGGGTCTGAAGGAGCCTCTGTAATTTTGGGAAGTGTTGAGTTGTTGTAACACTGAGAAGGAGCTAAGTGTGTTTTTCCACATAATTACCTATGTTTGTTCTGATCTGTGTCCTTATAGTGGCACATCTGTCTGGGAGCAGCAGTTTCTCCTCACACAGACGTTGCTCTTGGCTGAGGGGTTGTCTGAGGACCCCCAGCCCCCCTCAGAAAACCTGGACTGCCCTCAGAACCCCCAGTGCCCCTCAAGCCCCTCCAGCTCCCCTCAGACCACTCCTGGCCACTCTCAAGTCCACCTTGTATACCCCTCAGACTTCCCTGGTCCCCCTCAAGCCCTGGCATCCCTCAAATTCCCATCTCCCCCAAAACCTAAGGTCCCCCTCAGGCTCCCCTGGCACCCCTCGAGTCCCCCAGCTCCCCTCAGAACCTCCACTCCCCTCAAATGCCCTTGGCTCCCTTCAGTACTCTGGCACCTCTCAAACCCACTGACTCCCCTCAGAACCCTCAGTCCCCCTCAACTCCCCCTGGCACCCCTCAAATCCCCCTGGCTCCCCTCAGTACCCCTGGTCCCACTCACGTCCCCCTGGCTCCCCTCAGCACCCTGGCACCCCTCAAGTCCTGGCTCCTCTCAGACAATCCCGAGCCCTTCTCAGGTCCTCTCTGTCTCCCCTCAGAACACTCACCCCCTCTTTACGTGCCCCTCGCACCCCTCATCTCCCCTCAGCACCCTGGCACCCCTCAAGTCCTGGCTCCTCTCCAGCCCCCCGTGGCTGCCCTCAGATCATCCCCAGCCCCTCTCAAGTCCCCTCCACCTCCCCTCAGAAACTCCGGTCCCTCTTGGGCACTCCTGAAGTCCTGGCTCCCCTCCAGCCCCCCTGGAGCCCCCCGGGTTCCCTCAGCACCCTCCCCTTCCCTCTGCCCCGTCCCCCCGGCAGGTGGGAGGGCTGAGGGAAGGGGAGTAGCCCAGGGACAGGACTCTGCCCGCTCTGACAGCGGGCGGGGACGGGCCCCCCGCTATTAGTACAGGACCTCCGCGGGGCCGCCCCAGTACCTCCCGCACCATGCCCGGGCTCCGCACCGCGCCCGGGCCGCCCGCCTTCCTCCTCCTCCTCCTCCTCCTGCTGCTGCTCCCCGCTCCCGTCCCCGCGGACCCCGGCGCCGGGTGGCAACTGAACCCCGGGAGCCGCCGGGCCGCGGCGGCAGCGAGGGTGGCCCTGCAGTACCGCAACTTCAAGGCGGGATCGCCCGGGGGGCTGCGGGCGCTGGGGCAGGTCCGCAAGGCCACCGTGAAGGTACGGGGGGAGCGGGGGCGGTGCTGGGCCGGGGGGCGCGGGGCTTAGAGCGATGCCGGGGAAAGTGCAATGAACAGCAATTATTATATTGTTGTTATTGTATATAGCTGCAATTAGCAGTAATTATTATATTAATTGTTATATATAACTGAGGTTAGCGCGGTCCCGCGCTGGGCACCGGGAGTGCCCTCCTGCCCCTCTCAGGGGCCGCTGTCCCGCTGCCCCTTCCTCAGGGACACCCGGGTCCCCTCAGGGCACCGCTGTCCTCCCACCCCTTCCTCAGGTGGCTCAGGGCACCTGGGTCACCTCAGGGACCATTATCCCAACTCCGTTCCTCAGGGACACCTGAGTCCCCTCCAGGACCACTGTCCCACCATCCCTTCCTCAGGGACACCCAGGTCCCGTCAGGGGCTGCTGTCCCACCGCCCCTTCCTCAGACCAAGAACTTCATCTAAAGGCGATGCAGTTCCCATCAGAAAACTCAGCTTTATCTTCCAAAAAGCACGGCAAATTGAGGTGACAGAGAGGGGCAGGAGTCCCCGAGAGAGGAGCAGCTGCAGGGGCAGAGCCTTCCCGTCATGGATCCTGCCAGGGATGCTCGGGGTGGTGCTCGGGGTACGTGGACTCTGCTCCCCAAAGGATGAGCCCCGTGCTGTGCAGCCCTTCTCCTCCTCCAGCTTTGGGGGTTTTTTACAGCTCGATCGGTTTCTGAAGGCAAGAAATCAGGCAAAAGCTTCTGGGGAATGTTTGTCCCGGGCTGTAGATCCTGGAAGGAAAGCCCTGCCTTCCTGGAGAGCCGAGGGGATGAGATTTTAACCCAGCCCTCGGGTCCTGCTGCTGGGCAGCTCTCTGAGCAAGGGCTGCTTGGTTTGGATTCCAAAGGGCCAAATGCAGCACTGGATTCCCCTGGATCCTTTCCATGGCTCTGGAGACCTTACAACACTTGTCCTTCAGCATCTGCACGGTGTGTGCAATCCAGGCCCTCTCTCCTGAAACTGGGAATGTCAAATCTTCCCTTTCAAGAAAGAAGTTCTGAGCCAGCCTAAAAAGTTTAGGATATGCTGTTGCAGTCCTGATCCTGAATCCTTCCCATAAATCCCACTTGGCAGTGGCTCCAAAACAATTTGAAGCCTGACTTGCATGCGATATTTAACAGGTCAAAATAATTTTCAATTAAATCTGACAAAATGCAAAATACTGTGAAAAAAATCAGACTTTGGTGTAATGCAAGGCTGAAAGACAGTGTTAGCCCTGCCTGGGAATTCTGCTATGGATTCATCTGGAATCATGCCCTTTAGGTAACTCTGTGTTCTCATCATCATTCCCAAATATGCCATTAAATATAACATTAGGTGCTGAGTATGGACTTGCTCATGGGACATTCAGTTTTCCTATGAAATTGCTGCAGACACCCCTGACAGGAACCTCCTGTGCTGTTTTATACTTCTTTCCAAACGGATAAATGTTCCTTCTGTATTTCCTGGGCAGTTTGCATATGGATATATGGATGTATTTCCATATATAAATACTTGTGCCTGGCTGAAGAACAAGCTGGCAGCACAGCAATTCCCTGCTGGAGTGCTGCAATTCCCTAGGAAAGAGACTGTCAGCATGAAGGGGTTGGTGCAGATCCCCTTCCCAGCTGAATATTTGTGAATATTTGTGAACTAATTTGGGTTGGGGGAAGGGAAAGGGATTTTCCTCCCCCGCTCTCAGCCACCTGACTCCTAATATAGGAAGGAGAATAGCTGGTTTGTTATAGAGAAGTGAAATTCCTCCTTATTTCCTCCCAGCTCTGGATGAGGAGCTCACTGTAACCACTCTCTGCAGTCTAATTCCCCTTTTTCTTTGCACACTCTGTGAAAACAAGAGGAGAAAAGTGCTAAACGTGGTCACTTCCTTCTTTTCTGTCCTCCACTGGAAAAAAATGACAAGAATTTCCTGGAAGGAATGTGCTCTATTAGGTGAAGGCAAGAGACAGAAATGGTGGGGTTTGGGGGTTTTCGGTTTGTCTGGGTTTTAGTAATTTTTTTAAACAAGGCAAATTTCCTCTTGGTTACTATATCACTGGATCCCATAAAACCAGGATGATTTTATCATGGAATTCAATAATGAGCACTGTAATTTAATCCTGACATTATTAGCCCACTAGCTGGTGAAACTGGTAATTGGAAACAGGACTGGAGACAGTCCCCAGCCTGGAAAGGATCTTTCATGTTCAGGTAAAATGAGACTTCAGGGCTTTTCTCTCCTGTCAACAACTAGCAGAGAGATGCCAAACATGGAATAATCCCTGCCTTGCTGGCTGCTCTTTGTTTTGTCCCTTCTTTTTCCTTTAGTGAGGATCCTCTAGGAAACAGCAGTTCGTGGAGTTGTTGAAACAGCTGCACTTTAAATACACTTTAGATAAGAAAAGTCTTAGTTTGTGCCAGCTGAAGATCCCAGAAGTCAAAGAGGGAAGCTTTCAAAACACTGATGTAGCATTTCCCATCCCAAGCTGTCCTGGAAATCAGAACTTAGGAGGAGGTGAAGGGTGAAGGTAAAGCCAGGTAATCTTGTGGCTAAACTGCAGCACTGGATTAAACTGGACTAGAAAGTCCCATTTTACAGGTGGATATTTCTCTTCACAACCTCACCTGGACACAGAACAGTTGCAATACCACAACCCTGGTTTTAATATTAAAAATCAATTAAAAAATTCCTTATTTTCTTACTTCCAACAGTGAGAGCCCCCCGTTAGGGTGGGAAAGGCAGGACCTGTGGCAGGGACAGCTCGCCCTCCTCTCTCTGCAGTTCCAGCTTTTCCTGCTTAAAAAACTGGCTAAAAACTGGATCCAGGGGGGAAATGCTGGTGGGAAACACAGAGAAGGAGAGATGGAAACCTGCAGTTTGGGGTGAGAGAGGGATCCCCCCTTCCTGTGCCAGTGGGGAGTGAGAGCAGTGATTGTAAACTGATTGTAAACTGATTGTAAAATGACTCCCTCCTTTGGGACCTGCTCTGGAATTGCTCCTTTGGCCTCCACGGCACTAAAAATCCGTCATGAAAAGCTGCAAGAATTCTGAGCCTGGAAATAATCCTCTGACCCAGATATTCAGTGGAAAAATGAATTACTCACTTGTTTTCTTCTCTTTTGGACACTTTTATCTTTGGCTGCTTTCAGATATCCCTGGGCTCTGAGGAACTCACACTCTGGGAGGGTTTACAGATGATAGTGGGAAATAATAATGGAAAGAAAAGTGATGCTTTTCTTCGAACCTACAAATACTTTCATAAATGTACAATTATTTCCTGCCAAATGGACCTTCTCCCTCCTCCCTGGGAGGCTCAAAGAAGCCCCCCCAGCCTGAATCTGTATTTTTGCTGTGGGGCACCTCTTGAAAGCTTTCTAGGTAGTAATAGTACAGAAGTAGTAGTAATACCTACTAGTAGTACTGTGGTGGAGTTGTTGCAAATGAAGGGAGAATATCTGCTTCAAAAACATCTCCTTCAAAAATATCTCCTTCCAAAGCACAGAATTCTCTATTCAAGTCTTGATCCTTTCAGGTTCTCTCATGTGCAGTGATGACCCAAAGGGAACAGGCCTGGCTCACTGTGCTTCAAAATAGCCAAATTTGATCAAATTAGGAATGTTATAAACCCCTGCAATAACAGCTCTGGGGTAGCTTTACAATAATCAGAAAGTTAGCCTTAACTGCAGTGATTGTTGTGAGAGATTAGACCCTTCTTATCATTTCATTTGATTACTGATTCTTTGGCACTTCAGAAAGTCAGTTTTTCCCATTCTGCTACGCTGAGTGACCCCTCATGGCACATTCTCTACCATTTTGAGGACAATATTTCTAGTAACACACAAAAAGGGGCAGGAGGAAGAGGAGAACGAGGAGGAAAAGAAGAAAGGAATTAAAGAAGTCTGAGCTCGTTCCGTTTCCTCCACCCTCTTCCCAGTGGGATGTGGCTCCAGCTCCACACTGGACTCACCCTAAACTTTCAGGAGGGGGTTTTATAAAATAGAACAAGTGATCAAAGCAGTTTGTCCTCTTACCTGCAGTTTACAACTCTGTGCAGGTACTCCAGGCAGGCGGGTGTGGGGCTTTGCCGACCTTATGGCATCAATAACTTCCTGGGAGAAACCGGGAAGGGAACGTGAGGGCTCAAGGTTAGAGAAACACAAACCCACGTTTGCTTTGGCTCCTGATCTGCAAACTGCTGCAAACAGCCACAATTCCCCTCCTGCTCCTCTGAAGAGCATTGTGTTCAAAACCCGAGCAAGGGGAACAAATGAGTGCCCTTACACTCAAAAATACAGATATTTCAGAGCTCAGTCTAAAAGCTGGCAGGAAAATAAAAGACTGACCATGAAATAAAGAGCAGATAATGCCAAGACTTGTTATTGGGCTCTGCTCTTGCACAACTGGATGAGGTAATCCCAGGGAAATGAGTGTTTTTTATGGCCAATATTAAAAGACAGTTTCTCTTTCAGCCTGCTTGGAGCTGAGACAGAAGATCCCACATTAGAAGGCCCATTTGTTAACTGAAATCCTCGAGTTAAAAACCCCCAAATCCAAGAAAATTACACATTTCAGAGGTTTGCATTTCTAAGGCTTTTCAGGTGTTTTGTCCTCCTGGCTGCTTCCCATCAGCAAGGAGTTATCTTTTGCTTTTCCTTACCAAGCAGAATCCTGGATGATTGAACGGGATCCTTCAGGACTGGTATTTTCAGGGCAAACCAGAGCAGACAGACCAGAATTTGTGTGGTGAAACCAGTTTCTTTCCCATCACCAATGACCAAAATCCTAGATATTAGATGAGCCTGTGTAATTCCTGCTCAGATGTGACTCAGCAGGATTGGATTCATTTATATATGATAGTCAGTGCAAAAATACCTCCTTGGACACTGAACACTCCCTCAGAATGTCAGTATTGGTGAAGTTACTCTGGAATAACTGGCCCAGGGAGGACTTTGAGCTGGATTTTCCCTCTTGCCTCTCAGTGAGGAAAGGCTTTCAAACATCCCTTGGTGTGCAGGTTGTTTATGGTTGTTTCCCCTCCTCACTGCTTGTCCCAGCACATAAATAAGGCTTTAGTTCCACTGATGGCTGAACCTTTTCTCTTCCAGAACATCCCAGACTTTGGGCACAAGTATTACCTGCAGTTCAGCACAGAAGACTACAGGACTGGGGTGAGTTTGGGGTCCTCTGTGTTCCCTCTGACCATGGGCATGGAATGAACTTCAGCAGCTCCAAAACAGGGACATTTATGAGCTCAGGAAACGGATCTTTCCCAATGGAAAGACCTTTGTGCTCCTCCCTGTCTGCCTGGCAGGGGCTTTGCCCCGAGGAGCACCTGAGAGATCCTCGGCCCTCAGTCCTGAAGGATTTCAAGTCACCTCAGGCAACCAAGGGCCTGAGTGAAGCTTCCCAGTGGCCCAAGCTCAGTGACAGTGTGACAGCCTGGTCCTCGTTATCCCACTGGGGACATTATCCCTCTGTGCTCTTTATCCCACTGTGCTCATTATCCCACTGCAGCTCCTGCTGTCCACACCCCAAAAAGGGAATAATGAGCTGGCAGCTGCATGTTCTTCTCAATTCTAACCCCCTCCACTCTCCCTGTCACACTTGTCACCAGCAATTTCACTGCCCTCTTCCTTCATAGTTTGTGGAATTCAAACTATTCTCAGAACTTAATATGAAGCATTAGATTATTTTCGTTTCAAGGCTGAGCTACAATGCAGTGAAAGTCCCTGTTATCAATTAATGTTATTTCTTAAAACTCTCAAACACATTTCCAAGATGACTTAGTGCATTAATCAAAAACTTCTGTTAACTCCCTCCAACCTCGTGGTTTTAAACCATTTACTTTTCTGGGGAAAAAATTATATCCTTCTGAAGACTTTCCTGACCCTTGACCAGCTTCACCCAAACAATGAGTTGCTGGTAACTAAAATCTTGATCAAAGGTAAGAGTTTTAAATTCTCCCTTGACAGGAAAACGCCGGGAGCTGCCTGGCCACGGTGTTGTATCCAAGGAAAAAGTCTCCTCCTGTTGTCAGCATCAAGTGCTCACACACCAAAGACCAGAATGAAATCCAGGAAGAGGACAACAGACTCTACCAAAGAATCAGGCAGCAAACCAAACCAATAACTGGGAGCAATATTCCAGGTATATTCCTCCAGCCAATCAGCTGTATTTCATTTATCTCCCAGGGCACTGTGAAGAACACAAGCAAACACATGCACTGGAAGGAGACACGTTATTTACAGCAGCACCCTGAAACCACAGTGCTGTCAAAACATTCCCCCTTCCAGGGATCCTCTGGGAGAACAAAACCCCCTTGCATTTAACACTGGCATCAGCACCACCTTCTGAAGGCGGTTTGGGTTTAAAAGCACCATTTTAAATTCGAGTAAATGCAGAATGCCCTCCAGGAATAACAAGAGCCCCAAGCCACAACCTCTCCAGCTGTGGCTGGAAATTCACTGGGCATGACTAACAGAACTTTTCCATCCTGGAAAAATTCCATCTTTTCCTCCCAGCTAGGTAAAGACTTCCATTACCCTGGATTTTGGGGTTCTTACCCCACTGTGGGACCCCGTGAATGTTGTCTTTTGGCAATGTCAGTCCTGCCACACTTTTCTACTTTCCTGGGGTGCAGCTTTAGCATCGTTCTCCTCCCTTTTCCCTGTGACACGTCCGAGGGAAGAGTCTCATCCCAGGACCAGCCTGTGCCAGGCCAAAGTGCTCTGTGGTTCATCATTTTTCAGCTGAACAGCCAGAATTGAGACTGTTTGTGTTTCTGTGTGCCCTGCAGACAGCTATGGCAACATTGAGCCTGCCCTGGAGCCAGCCTGGGCTCTGGCTGTCGCTGGCAGCAGCTCCATCATGTGGGAAAAGTCCACAGAGGACGTGGGATACTTCCTGGCACAAGTGAAGTCGGTGAAGCAGTGGGTGAGTGGAGCAGGGAGCAGAACCCCCCAGCTCTCCCTGCTGCCGTGGGTGTGATCCCCCAAACCCCAGGGCCTCCCCTTCTCCAGCATCTCCACCTCTGGACAAGCACTTTGTCCAGGTGTTGGTGGGAAAACTTTACTCATTTGGACAAAATTTGGCTTTCCTTGTTGCATGAGTGGCTTCTGCAGGTCCTGCAGTTCCTCAGCCCCACACCAGGTCACTCCCACACCCTCTGACCCTTTGTGAGGCTCACAGGCATCATCAGGCTCAGACCTGGCACAAACACCTGCCTGGGAAGCAGGTCTGACCCCCCAGCACATCAAACAGCAGTTCCCAAAGCTCTGTGTCCCCCAAAACACCTGCCTGGGGAGCAGGTCTGACCCCCCAGCACATCAAACAGCAGCTCCCAGAGCTCTGTGTCCCTGTGATCCACAGGCAGGACCCAGTTTTTGCTCCATTCAGCACAAGATTTTTCTGAAGCAGAGATTAACAGGCAATATTCTCAAATCCATCAGAGGGGGAAATTCAATTAATTAGCACCTGGGCCAGCCTGGTTTCATGGCAGAGAGTGGGGCTGCAGAGCCACACAGCAGCCATTGCCTTCAAGAATTCCATGCAGGAAGTGCTCCTAATTCCCCGTCTTTCCATGATCAAAACCCACCTCACTCCAGCCAGCAACCACAGTCCCTAAGCAAGCTCAGTGCAGCCAAGTAAATCAAAGCAGAAGCTAAACTTCAACAATATAAACCTGTGTTCCTGATAATCCTTCTCTTTTTTTCCATACCCAGAAGAGGAAAGATGATTTTATTGAGTTCGACTACACTGTCCTGCTCCACGAAATGCCAACACAGGTAAGAAACAGGGGTGTAATCCCTCCTGTCCCCAGGAGATGGGCAGTACAAAGGTGATGAGTATACACCTATAAAATCAGTATTTCTCTATAAAAGAGGTGTTTTTCAATCCCTCCTGCAGGAGATGATTTCCTGCCACATGCGCCTCACGTGGCTCCCTGGGCAGCCTCTGAAAGTGAAACACTTCTGTGCCTCCGAGACCCACGGGCTGAAGGAGGGATCTGGGCTGGGATCGGGATCAGCTGCTGGCCTTTCAGAGGAAAGGGGGGACAACTTCTGAGAGAGATTGTCAGAATCCCTGGATTCAGGGAGAAAATCCTTGTGCTACCAGAGCTGGAGCCGGCATTGGGTTTCCACACAAGTCAGTGATCGGGATGCTTTCACTATCACTACTCTGTTCTGTACCAAAATTATTTCCTGTCACTTCTCAAACTGCAAGACTCAACTTCTAGAGAGTTCTACCTACAGCCTTTGCTACTGCACATATACACAGATGAACATACACAGGTTGATTTTATGTCACTAATTAACTGTTACGTAGAGTTTGTAAACAAAGTTAATATATTTGGGTAAAAATTCTCCAGGAAAGTATTAATCTGTCAGTAAGAAATATCTGCCTACTAATTTTTTGGGTCATTTTTCGGGATGGAATCATGCTGGTTTTCAACTCACCTCTCCAATAAACCAAATACCATCACTCAGGGGCGAGGCTGGGTTTTCTTTCACTGTGCTGCTGTTGGACCTCAAATTTCCACCTTCTCTGTAAACTCTAAACCAAAACAGACCTGCAGAGCCAGGAAGGCTCCAGATGGATGAATTCCCACATTTGAGATGGGCAGGACACCCCTCAAACAGCTCTTCTTGGTTCCTGCCCTGTCCTGTTCCCGTCCTGAACACCACAAAGTCGTGGGTTTCTCCTTTGCCTCCAAATCCTCCAGTTGGGTTCCCAGAAGATCCACCACCATCCCACCTCTGCTCTCTGAGGTTGTGCCAAACTGTCTCAAATTCACCTTTTTTCTCCCCCATTTGCCAGATTTCTGCCAGGATAGACTAAATCCTTACCAAGAACACCCCATTCCTGAGGGAAACAGGTGCTGGGGTGGCTGTTCTCTGCAGTTTGTGGTGGTTTTCATTATCCTGGATCTGTAATCAGTAACAATGATTCCAGGATTTCACATGACAGTTTTCCCTGCTTGTATTTGAGCTGGGTGATGTCAACCCCCCGAATTCCAGTGTTTTACACACACAGATTGATAAACCTGATTTCCTGACTGAAGCTTTTTCTCTCAGCACACACCAGGCACCACAATAAATTCAGGGAACGACATCCCACGTCCTCCTGGTGTTTTCTTCTGTGCTGGTAGAACATTTCTCCTCATCAAAAGTATGAAATCAGAGCTGAGAAATTTCAACATTTCTTAAAGAAGCTGGTGATTAAAATAGTTTTTGAAACATAAACAAGAAAATGGGATGGGTTTTGCACTTTGGGGCTCTACTTTAGTGTCCTTACCTTGTTTTTGCCACTGCTCTGCAGACCCAGACCAGAGGATTGGGCACTTCCAAGTCACCAGGTCAGTGTAACTCCCAACTATTCCACAGGAATTTCTGGAGAAGCAGCAAAGCTGTTGGAATTCTAAGGCAGCTGCTTTTAGGCCAAGATTTCAGCCTAAAACCTAAAATCATACAGCAAAATTCTTGGGGTTTTGGTTTTTTCCAGATTTGTGGAGCACCAGCACATCTGGCAGCACCCACGAGCCAGGAATTCACATCACAGTGGCCTGAGCAGAGCAGGAAAACCATAAACATAAATAAAATCCCAACCACCCCGTTCCTTTCCTGTTTCCACACTGCTTTCATAAGACAACCCTGAATTTTGGTAAAAGGTTGTTCAAGAAAATCTCCCAATGTCTGAGGACCTGCAGGGCTTTTCTGGAAATCAATTCCAGCTGAGCAGTTGACAACAACAAAGCTGTGGATGGGGGGGAATCGGGGATTTGTCCCAAAGCAACACACAGGGATACACCACACGGATACAGCACATGGATACACCACCCCACGCCTGAGCCCTGTTAGCACCTCCACGTGCTCACAAATCTGTTCCCAAGGTCAAAATAACTCCTTTTCCCTGTCTTCCCGTGAGGGCTGTGGAGAAGCCTGGCTGCTGCACTCCTGGCTGTGTCTGGGAATCATCCTGTGCCAGGAATGTCGCTGGGTTTGAACTGGAACTTCATCCCCCGTTTACTGGAAGTCTGTTAAGCTGAGGAGGTCAGGAAGGGAGAGAGACACTTCAACATGGACCTTCTGGGAGTCATTAAAAACACAGAATTATGGGAATATCTCCTCCTTCCCATGGAACTCCAGGGTCCTTGTTTTGTCTCTGCAATGAGTCAGCAAGATTTCAGTCAACTGATTCCTCCGCTGAGCATCGGCTGGACACGCCCTCGGGATTGGGAGATTCTGGGAAGAGAAAGCTCTGGTTTGGTTTTCTAACAGAGAGCCAAAGTCAAGCCCACACAATGAATCCACATCAAAGCCCATAGAGGAATTCCAGGTTGTTCCCAGCTTTGGGAAGAGTTAACTCCCACCAACACCCTTCTCAGCTCTGTTGTGCCACCCGTGAAAAGCAGATTTGGTGCCAGGGCAGTGGCACTGAGCGATGGCTTTGCCCAGTGGGTGGAGACTTTGAAGGATCCTGTGCCACTTCTGGAGGATTTGGAGGGAAAAGTGGCATTTTTCCCTGGAGGGAAGCTGGGAGCACCCTGTGAGAAGTGCTCAGTGTGGGCTGACAACTCACTCCCTGTGCCTGTCCAGCAGCTCCTACCTGACTCTCCTGCCTCAACATTTTCAAACTTCCCAAACCTAATTACACAATAATGATGTATCAAGTAAAAAATACAATTATTTTAATAGAACTTAATTAAGATGAATTTCAAGACCAATTATCAGCCGTGTTTTAACATCTATTTTGTTAAGGACAGCATTTACACGTGAACAATTCCGCTGTGATCCTCTGGTGGTTCCTGAGAATTCCACAGAGGAAGGGTATGATGACAAAATTCCAAGTCCGAATCCCACTGCAGCCTGCCTTCCTCAGCCAGCCTTGCCTGCTTCCGTGGCTTGGAAAACTGAGCTGCTGGAGGAGATGGGGAAAAACTGTTCAAAGGACTCCAGAGGAGTCAGATCAGCTCTTGGCTTTGCCCTTTTTGGCAGGAAGTCGCCCCGTTGCTTCCAGGTATTTGTTGATTATTTCTTCCTGAGTGCTGGGTGAACACGGGTGGTACCTGGAGTATTCCATGGTATATTCCCCCTTTCCCTGTAAAATTGGGAAAAGAACATCCAGGTGAGGATGGTACATGTGTAACTGTGCTGAACAGCAGGTCACTCCCTTGTCTGTGAAACGACATCCAAGAATCCTTCACAATCCCACACAAACAAAATTTTTGAGCAAAAATGACCCAATTCTGGGTTTGGTTTTTATCTCCTTCCCTGCTGCAGGTGCTATGGATGCAATGATGCAAAGTAGCCCAAATTTACAGAAATAAACACGTTTAAGCAAAGGGGACATGGAGGACTCACCTCTGTGCAGGACCTCAGCTCGGTGGCATATCCAAACATATCGTTCAGTGGCACCTGAAATCCCAACACAGGCTGGTAAAAACAAAACACTTTTTCCATCAACTTTGAGTCACCACCTAATTGATCCCACTTCTGATACAAAGAGTCAGTGCTGCCTGTAAAAAGCTCAGATTGAATGATCTGGTGTTGTAAAGCACCTGTTATTTTAGCTGATTTATACTTGCAACGTGTTTTCAGCAGGAAACATGAAAAATCTGAGAGTCTGAATGCACCAGGAACTGGAGCATCCTGGATTCAGGGCTGTGTCATCCAGAGATCACAAGGTTTGAGGTAACTCCAGACTGGAGCTCTGATTAAATTCCTCAGTTTCGGAAGCAGAAGGGATGCAGGGCAGCCCAAAGCCAAAGCTTTGCCGAGATGATTTTCCCTCCCACCACCCAACAGGAAAACACACGTCTTTAGAAGGGACATAAGAAAGGGAACACGGAAAATGAGTCAACCTGGCTCCAAATTTATCCACATAAACTAAGGAAAACAGTGATGGAGTCAAAAGGCAAGAGGAGGAAAGGAAAAGCCGGGAACAGCACAAACCTCAGCATAGAGGGTGAAGTAGCCCTCTGCCCCGTCCTGCCCCGTGATGACTCCGTGGCGCCGGTTGATCCCAGCTATCACAGCTCCCTGGAATTCCGTGGGAGCCATCACCTCCACGGCCATGATGGGCTCGATGATTCGCACCGTGGCGTTTTCCATGGCTGGGAAAAACAGCGGGAGAAACAATCCAGCACCACAAGCCTGGGGGAAGTTCAGATACTCCCATGCACAGCAACAAATGGTTCATGGTACTGCCAAGTGTTTCCTACGACAGCGAGGGAAAACAAGCAGCTCCACGGAATTCCAGCTCCCCAGCTTGTTATTCCTGACACCATAATCACAGAGTCATTAAAGTTGGAAAAGACCTGCAAGGTCATCAAATCCAACCTCTGACCCTAAACCATGTTGTGAAGTGCCATATCCAGGGGCAGTTCCAGGGATTGTGACTCCACCAGGGATTGTGACTTCCCTGTCCCAGTGCTTCACCACTCCTCCAGTGAGGACATTTTTCCTAAAAAAGGCACAGTTTGACCAAATGTTCTCTTCCTACCCTGTAAGGATGGTGCTGCTGGTGTTTCTGTACTGCATTCCAGGAAACCAGGATCTCCTTCACAGAACCACAAGAACTGTTGTGCCTCCCTCAAAAATTCTATAAACTCTTACACTGTGCTCTACACAAGTGGCCAGACTTTGGATGGATGGATGGGTGGGTGGATGGATACCCCAAATAACAAATGAACCTACAGAAATGAGGCTGTTAAATTCTGCCCCAGCAATAACAGCCAGGACACATCCAAGCAAGGAGCTCCTACCTTGTTTTAGGGCTCCTTCTCCTGCCCTGATGAAGGAGATCTCGTTGGAGTCCACCATGTGATGGGCACCATCCTCCAGGACGAACCTGATCCCGGAGATCTTGTGCCCGGACACCAGACCCTTCTCACAGGCATCTCGGAATCCCTGGAACAACAGCCCGAGTCAGCAGCAGGAATCTGGAACCTCTGTGCTGTCAGTCTTTGGCACCTCAGTTGGATACTGATACTTTTTAAAACTAAAAACCAAGGAACAAGGAAAACTGCCCTCAGGATTTGGCTTTGTAAGGGACTGCATGGCCAAAACCCCAAAGAATGCTCTGTGTGGAAAGAGCTCCTGCCTGGAGAACAAGATTCCTTTAAGGCTGCATGTTTTTTTCAGGATTTTGCAAAAGTCTTCAAGTGTTGCATCATAGAATAACGAAGGAATTATTCTGGGTTATCATAGGAATTCCAGGATGATAGCAGGCTAATTAAAATAGTCTGTGATAAATCTTACAGAGAGACAGTCACAGAGATGAAAAAGGAATTCAGAGATGAATTGGGAATTCAGGCAGGAAATGCAGCTTAATTGCAGCTTCCCACATAATTGGCCTCAGAGAAGTCACAGAAAAAGCTCCATATTTTGGGGTTAGAAATGAGAATTGTGGGGCCACAACCAAAAGCAGAAGGGCCAGTAAGAAGCAGATTGAGAAGGAGGCTTGTTGGACTGTGAGAAAGGAAAGGAGGCACTGCCAGGGAAACAGAGCCAGCACACACCACCAAAGCAAACAGAGCAGCTTCTAAAGACAGTGGAAAACCCAGGAATGTGAGATCTGAAGTAAAACCACACAAATGATTCTGTTTCCACTGAAGAAATAGGAAAAGCCCCCTTGCCTGTGGCAAGGCCAGCACAGTAAATGTGGGTGATATGGCAAGAAAACACAAAAATCAGTATTTACTGTAGCACACAGATGGTTTGTACCTTTTCCACAGCAGGCACAAATTGTTTGGGAATATTTGTGCCAACGGTTCTGTCTTCAAACTCTACTTTGGTGTAGTCCTCAGGATCCAGGGGCTCCAGCACCCCGATCACTTTGCCATACTGGCCTGCTCCTCCTGTCTGCTTCTTGTGGGTGAATTCAAACCTGAAAACAAACAACACCCCAAACACATGAACCTGCTGCAATCCCAGGGAAAAATTCCCATTCTGCAGTTCATAGAATTCCAGACTACTTTGGGTTGGAAGGGAATGTAAAGGTTATGGAGTCCACCCCTGCCATGGGCAGGGACACCTTCCACTGGCCCAGGTTGCTCCAACCCGGCCTTGGACACTTCCAGGGCTGGGGCAGCCACAGCTTCTCTGGGCAACCTGTGCCTGTTCCTCACAGGGAAGGATTTCTCCCCACTATCCCACCTAACCCTGTTCGCATTTAAAACCTTCACTCCCTCCGGCCGAAGGGACCCGCTCTCTCGGCAGCATCAGCGCCGTCCCCGCCCGCTCCCCGGGGCGGGACCCGCCGCCCGCGGTCCCTCCCCGTGCCGGTGCCTTCCTGCGGGCGGAGGAAGCTGCGTGGCCATGGAGCTGCCCCCGGCACAGTTCCCAGCGGGCCGGGCCGTGGCCATGGAGCTGCCCCCGGCACAGTTCCCATCCCGCCGTGCCGCCGCCGTGGCCGTGGCGTTCCTGCGGTACCGGCGGGGCGGCCCCGCGCGGGCGCTGCGGCTGCGGGAGCTGCGCCGGGCGCGCACCGAGGTGAGAGCGGCACCGGGAGCGGCGGGAACCCCCGCGGCACCGGCGAGAACTGCCCTCCAGCAGGGCCCCGGAGCTCGGGGACAGCTGCCCAGGGAGGGCGTGGAGTCTCCTCTCTGGAGACGCCCCAATCCCACCCGGAGCGCCCCTGTGCCACCCGCTCCGGGTGCCCCTGCCTGGGCGGTCCCCCGAGGTCCCCTCCAACCCCCGCTATCCTGGGATCCTGTGTCACCGCGGCTCTGCCCACCCACGTTTGGGGGTCACGGAAGGACCTGCGTGTCCCGAACAGCCCGGGGGCTGGGAGCAGTCGGGCAGGCTGGGAAGGTGGAATACACCCCGTGCTGTTCCCACGATGGCATCGGGCCCGGGGAACCTCCCAAGGACACTCAGGAGGGAGGAGGGTGCTCGGATTGCGGCTGCCAGGACACACCTCGCTGCTCACCCGGGCTGGGTTACAGGGAAACAAACCCATGAGAACAGGGCACAGCAAACCCCACCTGTGAGAACAGGGCACAAAGCCCCAAAACAGGGGCACAGCAACTCCCCCTCCCTTCAGTCATTACAGCCAAAAACCTCCATGACGTGATTCATAATGAACTGCAAAAGGGACTTCATTTGAGGAGTCACTGAGCACTCCCACCTGAGTATTTAACCAGCAGCACATTGCTGGATGGAATCACATGGGGAGCTCCAAAATGTAAATTCAGGGCTAGAAATGAGGGTGGGAAGGCCCTGGCACAGGTTGCCCAGAGAAGCTGGGGCTGCCCCAGCCCTGGGAGTGTCCAAGGCCAGGTTGGAGCAACCTGGGCTAGTGGAAGGTGTCCCTGCCCATGGCAGGGGTGGGACTGCAGGAGTTTTAAATTCCCTCCCAACCCAAACCATTCCATGATTCTCTGATCTTGTCCACTATGCAAAGTCATTCAACATTTGACAAAATAAACATCCTTAATGTTTTCCCTTTCTCAGGACATCAAGGATGTTGGGCACAAGTACTACCTGGAACTGGAGCTGGAAGATGTCCTGGACAAAGTGAGTTCAGGTTGATTTAATTAAACACTCTGAGGGCAGAGCTTGGCAGCACTGATGTGTCATAAACTCACTTGATGCTGCTGCTCTGGCTCAGGCCAGGGGACACACCAACTAATCATATTTGGAATCATGTTTCTGATTTTCTATCCTACAAATCAGGTAAAAAAAAGGCTAAATTTTACCACCATAAAAGCCCTGCCCATGTGGTACCTTCCACTCCAGCACCAGACAGTGCTGGAGGGATGACAAGGACATTTCAGTGTCACTCAGCTCCAAGTGAACAGCACAAGGGACATTCTGCACCCCACCCACTGCCCTTCCCATCACTGCAGAAAGCAAATCACCTTTATGCATTCACAGATAAACCGTGAATTTAACCTTGTCTTAAATAATCACAAATCTCTCTGGGCCACACTCAGAGAAAACAGCAACTCCATAAAAAAAAGACATGTCAGAAATGCAAATTACCCACATTATACATGTACTTAATGAAATATTAATGCACATAATTAACTCTGTGACAGGACAGTACTGTTAACTGCACTGCTGAGGTTCTGTATCATCTGGGCAACAAAAACATTGCTCCAGATGTGCAGTTCACACTTGAAGGAGAACTAAAGAGCACAGAGGAAGCAGATCACGTGTTCTACACTCGAATAAGGAGCCTGGAAAAAGAGCTTGTGGCAGAGAACATTCCAGGTACAAGGATGGGGCTGGGGGAGAAGGATCAGGCCTCCCCCCTGCTCTGAACACATGCTGCTTCCCTTTCTCTGTCTGGGGGTCTCTCAGTCACAGCTACTCAATTTATTCTGATTCCTGAAATCCAGAATTGAGGCAGGATTTGCATGTGGCTGTTCTGCAGAACCACCTGCCACTGTCACCTCTGCCTGCTCCCTCTGAGCTGTCCTTGGCACAGCACATCCCACACCCCGACTGCACAGCGAGGGGCTGCTTGGACTTGAGAGCCTTGAAAACTTGATATGTCAGGGGAAAAAAGTGGAGGAGAACACCCTGGAAGTGTCCAAGGCCAGGCTGGACGAGGCTTGGAGCAACCTGGGCTAGTGGAAGGTGAACTTTAAGGTCCCTTCCAACCCAAACCACGCTGTGATTCCACAGGAGGAATCACTGCAGGGATGGAGCAGCTCTTCCAAGATCCTGTGGAAGGTTTTGTGACATGGAAGAGAGTGACTTTAGCACCAGGTGATGAAGTTCTGTTGCTGGCTCTTGTTTAACCCCCAGGAACTGTTTTGTTTCCCAGACAGCCATGGCCACGTGCCCCCAGAGCTGGAGCCCCTCCACCTGCTCGCCTGGGTCGCCTCGGGGTACCTGGTGTGGCAGAATTCCACGGAAAACACCCAGCTCCAGCTGGCCCAAATCAAACATGTGAAGCAGGTGGTAAGTCTCCATCAGTCACAGAATTCCAGGGTGGTTTGGGTGGGAATGGACCTTGAAGCCCATCCAGTGCCACCCCCTGCCATGGGCAGGGACACCTTCCACCAGCCCAGGTTGCTCCAAGCCCCGTCCAACCTGGCCTTGGACAATTCCAGTGTTCTCCTCCACTTCTTTCCCCTGACATATTCCAACCTGGCCTTGGCTCTCAATGCTCTGCAAGAAAAATAGTGTTTAGGAGCTGAGCAGGGACTAGAGCAGAGCTGGATCCACATTCTTAAAAATCCACATTCAGGAAACCTCAATTATGTCTGAACTTCCTGCTCTGGTTTGGTTTTAAGAATCCAATCCAGTGTTTGAATTTTGTTCCACTACCCCTTCCCTCTAATCAAACAGCAATTAGGGGAGAGAACTTAAAAGGGGTTTTTATTTGAGCTCTTGGACTTCCCTTACCATGATGAGCATCAACTGAGTTTATGGTGAGAAACCTGAACTGAGGAAGACAAAAGGGGAACACGAGGGAGAAAGGGAACAGAATATTCCAGGATATTTCCTGTTTTATTTCTGGGTGGTTACAAGGGATGGGTTTATCTTGAGCACACCTGGATCTGCCCTAAGCTCAGCAATCAAAACCTGGCAAATCTCACTGCAGCTCCTGACATTAATTGAGTCATTAATTGCCACCACCAGGCCTGACAGGCCCCTTGCCTGGAACAGGCTTAAGTGAGAGAAAGCACTTTGCTTTCACAAAACTTACTGTCACAGCCAAGTCCTTTTGCTTTGATTTGTAAATTAATAGAATTCTATAGATTCTCCCTAATTCCTCTGCTCTGTTTGGAAAAAAAATATATATTGTGAGTTAAGAATAACCTCTAAAGGGCTGGTCAGCTTTAAATCTGAGGCAATTTTGTATGTGAGCCAGGAAAAAGAAACAGGACTTAGAGAACTCAAGGCCCAAATGTTTTTGCCACTCAGAACAGCCAGTGAATTCCCAGGAAGTGCTGGGGATGAAGGAGAGACAAATTGCTTCAGGGAGCAGGATTTGTGAATGTTTTGCTCCCTCTGATGGCATCTTGGAGCAATTCACAGCCGCTGCAGGGCTGTGCACCCGCAAGAGCTCAAAGATTTTAAACACCTCTTTAACAAATTCGAGGACAAGGCAGACAGAAAACTATTAAATTAACCCAGCTGCCACCTCTCTTGGGGAATTTTGTTCCTTTTCCTTGAAAAATACATGGGAAAAGAGTATATTCCAAAGGCCAGTGTGTATTTTGTCACTCAGAATCCCTGTGAGGCCTCTGGGGTGTGTCCTTATCCTACTGACAATTTGATTTGGGATTATCTGGGTTAAACTGACACCTTGTAGAAGGAGGTGTTCCCATCCCAAAGGAGTTCCTGAAGTTGATATTTATCTGATTTCCTTAAGGGAGGCATTAGCAGAGTTTTAAGCCTCACATTCATCTCTCCAGTGCAAGTTTGGAGTGACAAAAACACAGATCAGGATCTTTTTTGTTTTGTCACAGTGACTGAGCTCCACCTGCTTTATTGGTTATAATAAGCTGTTTTACCTGAAATACAGCAGGGAATTCTTGGGATAAACAAAGAGAACTGACTCCCTGCTCTGTAGGTGGGGAGAAGCCCCAAATTCAGCCCCCTTTTCACCTTATCTTTCCAGAGGAGAAGTGATGAATATCTGCAGTTTGACTACGTGGTTCTACTGCACGAAATGGTGTCCCAGGTAAATACTGGATTTCTAAAAAGCCTTTTTTGTTGTTGTTTGAAGCCTGGCAGCTCTGCAGCCTCCAGCTCAGGCACACAGATGGTGGGGTGGACACAGAGGGTGAGGGGGAGGTCAGGGCCACCTTCTCTGTCCATCCCAGCATTCCAGGACACAACAGCAGCAATTTCCAGCTGTTTCTGGGCTTTCTTGGGAATGGCTGGGGTTCAAAACACTGGTGGCTTCACAGCTATTTCCTCCTGGGAGATCCCAGTGCCAAACTGGCTGGGGATCAAGGGAAGAAGCAGCATCCTGGAGTGCTCAGCAGAATTCCAGGGGGCTGGGAATGCTCCCATGCCAGAGGGCAGCACTGGTGCCCAGCACAGAGACCTCACCATCCCAGTTATCCCAGCACAAACTGGTTCCCAGCAGAGTATTCACACTTGGAGCCATTCCCCATCATAATTCTGTGATCTGAGCAAGTGTTTTCATAAGGAAAACACTGAAAATGTGAGAGAGAAGTTCCTGATTGTGCAACCTCCTGGAAAAACCACCCAGGGATCTCCCTCCCAGCTCCAGCTCCGCTGCTTCCAACCCCTGCACTCTCAAGTTTTAAATTAACAGAATTCTATGGACTCTCTCAGTTCTTCTGTGTGTTTGGAGAAGATAGACTGTGAGTTAAGAGTAACTCCTAAGGTGATGCTCAGCTTTAAATTTAAGCCAAGGTCAGCTTTAAATTCAAATTTAAACCAAGGTCAGCATTAAATTCCAGCCAAGTTCACTCGGGGCACCTACAGTGGGTTTGGTTCCTGAGTTTTCCATGAGGAGAAATTCCTGACTAACCAAGAGAATGGAAGCCCAGCTTGTTCCCTGTTGTCACTCCCACAGGAGATCATTCCCTGGGAGATGACAGTGCTGTGGCACCCTCGGGATGGTGTCCAAGTGACACGGGAGAGCCGCCAGCCCGGACACACCTCGGGATGAGGGACCCCCTGATCCCACCTGGAAGCAGCTCCAGAACTCCAGCAGGCATTTGGAGGGAGGGCAGAGGAGGGGAAGGGGTGGGGAAGCAATCAGGGTACAAAGACATTAAATTAAACTTTTCCTGTGCCTTGGGATTTGATCTGATCTTTTCTTCCCTGCTGCTTAACCAAATGCTGCATCCAAAGAAATGACTAAAACAATTCCCAGAGGGAATACTCACGGCACAGGTGCAGAGATGTTCTCCCTGAAGGCAACTTTGGGCTTCCCCGTGGTGCAAGGACAACCATATTCCCTCTCCATTCGCTGCAGGAAAAAAACCCAGAGTTGTTCCATTAGAGCAATTCTTTGGAAATTACTGTATTAATTTAATCAGGGTTAACCAGGGGTTTTTCACTGATTTTGGGGGGCTTTTTGTTGGTTTTTTTTTTTAATGTTATAAATTGTTCACTGTCATTTTGCATCCAACTTTGCTTAAGATCTACACAGGGAAAGGGAACAGCATTAATTTTTCTATTAAAGTTTAAGTTTTTCAAGACAAAAGCATCTTTTCTTTGTTCTGTCAACATTTCAGACACATCTCTTGTGTTAATTAAAATACAGACATCAACTGGAATGAGACTAATCACTGTAAGTAGGTATTCCCTTCTCCCTGCATCAGCTTTTATATGGAAGGATACATTTAAAACCACAGAAACACAGTATTTTTCTCTAGCAATTAATTATTATTAATTATTAGTTCATTATAAGCAAAGGCTGCTAAAGCAAAGTGTAGTGTTTAATCCATTTTTATGGATTTGAACTGAAGAAGTGAAAATATTCCAGGCAGAAGTTTCCTTTAAAATGGAACCACTGGAGAGAAAGAACCTGCAGAGGTTGATTTACAGTTAAACTCTTCCCAAAGCAGCTGGAAAGAAGAAAGAGGAGGAGGACAAGGAAGGAGAATTCGTGGCTGGAAAACCAGTGAAAAGCAGAGTCCATGGAATCTGCTTTCCCAATTACCTGGGCATAGATTTCCAGGTGCAGCTCCCCCATCCCAGAAACGATGGTCTCCTTGCTCTCATCATCAAAGTGGACTCTAAAAGTGGGATCTTCCCTCGTGAAGCGGTTCAGGCCTTTGGAAAACTTGTCAAAGTCGTTCTGAAATGCAATTAAACACAAGATTTGCTCGAATTCCAGAAATTATCCTCGACTTTTCCTATCAACAGCTGAGCACTTCTGCTCTCTGAGGTGATTTTTCTGAAACACTTCTAACTGTGTTTATTAATGCAATAATTGTGATTTAATTTCAAGTTCAGGTCAAAGAAATGCACCTTATTTACGGCTGAGTGACACCATCCAGCCCAGCCACGTGCTGGGTTATGCAGAGATATAATCTCAGGGATTGTGGATAAAACACTTTCAAACAGTGCTTGTTTTAGCCTGTTCCTTATTTAAGCTGCATAAAATCCTAAAAAGCAGCAAAGGGAGGGGAAGCCAGGGGGAGGTGTGGATCCCCAGGCTCCTACCTTGTTGGAAGGCTTCATGGCCACGGAGATGACGGGATCGGGGACGTGGATGGATTCCTGCAGTGGCCACCAAGGAAGAGGTGATGATTACAAACTTCCCCAGCAAAATCCTGGTAAATGCCAGTGCCTGAGGCCCTCAGGGAAAGGGGAACTCACCATGGAGATGGCAGTGCTGGTTTTATCAGTGAAGGTGTCCCCGCTGGCACAGTCAATCCCAAACAGGGCACAGATGTCTCCAGCATAAACTTCACTGACATCCTGGGGAAAGAAAAGTTTCCTGTTTAGATAACACTGAAAGATAAGAGAGGCTGTGGCTGCCCCATCCCTGGGAGTGTCCAAGGCCAGGCTGGACAGGGCCTGGAGCAATCTGGGATCATGGAAGGTGTCCCTGCCCATGGCAGGGGGTGGCACTGGATGGGCTTTAAGATCCTTCCCATTTTCCTATGATTCTATAACCTACAAACTACACCTGGTTTACAGCAGACACTTAAATATATTCTGTGTTTTGAAGCTTGACATTGAGCTCCTCTAAAATTCCAGCTGGGATAAAATGCTCTGTAAATCTTCCACCTCTTTATTCCAAGGACAAAAGGGAGAGCTCGGCTTGGATGCCAACTTGTTCTAGTTTAGGGATGTGAAGCAAACAATGTGCTGTGTTCCAGGCAGTCCTGGCCCACTGCAGGAATGTCAGACAGTGGCTCAGAGTCCATCCCTAGGGATCACTCACCTCCATGTTGTCCGAGTGCATCCGGACGAGCCTCTGCACTCGCACCCTCTTCCCAGTCCTGGTGTTGTAGATGTAATCAGACTTCTTCAGCATCCCCTGGTAAACTCTGATGTAGGTTAACTGCCCAAATTTACCAGCCTGGAAGCAAAATCCATGGAAAAATCACATATGATCCTTCTGGGAACCAAGAGCACTGTTACTGAAAGCATCACCTGCACTGACTGAATGTTTCTGGTTTGAATTTCCACACTAGAAATGTAACTGAAACGTTTTTAAGAGTCTCAGCTTTCCCTTGGCTCTGGGATGGAATTTGGCATTTCCTGGCAATTTTCTGAACTCATTTCATCACTCCCAAACCTTCCTAACAGAGACACACATTGACATGCAACATGAAATCTCAAGTGCTGCTCTTTAGGCAGAAACAACTTGTTTCCTTAAAACTGTGCATTTTATCCTCTCCAAATCTCTCCCGTTTCATTGTTTTCAAACCCAGGATTTTTCTCTGAAAGTATCTGAAATAACCCACAACCCCCCCAAAATGTTTAAGTTTTAACTAAGAAAACCATGAAATATCTGAGGGACATGACCCATTCTAAACTTCCAAATTGGCAGTGTTGGACACGCTGGTGGGTTTTATGGTGGGAACCAGTTTTTTAAAGGTTAAGTTTAAACTGAATTTAAATATAAACTGATTTTAAAGCTTGCTCTACACAACTTTGGCAGCCCCATCTGTTTGGATTCACTCTGTGAGTCGTTAGGAAGGAACTCAGTGGACTCACCTCCAGTTTGAAGGCAAGGCCGATGAAAGGGTGGGAATTATCACGAGCAGAGTTCAACAGGAACTTGGATCCATCCTCAGAATCCCTTAAAAACAGGGATGGAGAGGGAGGTGAGGTTATGAGGCAACATGGGAGCCTCTTCTAAGCATCTGCTGGCTCTTTACTGGCTTTAATGTTGGGGTTCACACCTAATTGTTGGACTTCTCTCCCAGGGAACAAGGGACAGGAGGAGAGGGAACGGCCTCAAGCTGTGCCAGGGGAGGGTCAGGTTGGACATGAGGAGGAATTTCTTCCTGGAAAGGGTGGTCAGACACTGGAAGGGGCTGAAGGCTTGAAGGGCTGCCATCATTTCTGATGAACTACCTCATAATCATTTTCCACATTTAACATTTAATGTGTTAATAACACCAGTATAAAGGGTAATCCTCAGGTGAAAGGAGCTGTCTTAGTTTTGGGAGTTTGTGCCAAATTCTGGTGCCATTATTTAATAAAAATGGTAAATGATCCTGGATCTTGTCACTGATGTTTCCTGCTATGTATTAAACAGCTTTGAAACTATTCCATAGGATCATGGAATGGTTTGGGTTGGAAAGGACCTTGAAGGCCTCCTAGTCCCATCCCCTGCCATGGGCAGGGACACCTTCCACTCATCCAGGTTGCTCCAAGCCCCGTCCAGCCTGGTCTTGGACACTCTTGTTTGCTTCTGGCTGTCCTTACCCCTGGTTCAGAATAGCATAGTTCTCCACCTCAGAGGGATTGGGAAGGTATTCCAGGACAGCATCCAGCAGTGGCTGCACCCCTTTGTTCTTCAAAGCACTTCCCACGAGGACTGGGGTAAAGGACTTCTTCAGCGTCGCTCTTCTGATGGCAAGCTGGAAAACAGCCCTGGTAACTCTCCTCCTGCTCCTTCAGGAGCCTGAGATTCCCTGGCTTCCCTGGGCATCTCCACTCCTGGAGCAAGGAGCTGCACCCCTCTGGAGGTACCTTTAACTCAGCAGCCGTGGGAATCTTCTCTTCCAAGAACATCTCCCCGAGCTGATCGTCGGCGTTGGCGACGCACTCGATGAGCTCCCGGCGCCGCTCGGCAGCCTCCGCCCGCAGCTCGGCCGGGACCTCCTCAACACGAAGGGTCTGCCTGCACACACGGGGACAAATCATCACCCACAGGGCATGGACCACCTGCATCCATCACTTTCCATCACTGCCATGACCAGCCCGACCAAGAAAAACTCACTGCTGACATGGATAATGGGAAAAATCCCCTACGAGGATCAGCTTTGGCACTTTGGCAGGAGAAGGTTCCTTCCCACTCCTGGCAGGAGTTTGAAGGATGCAGGACAACCTGTCCAACAGCCCCACCCACATCTTATCTTCATCCCAGAAGCCACTTGTGCACTGTCAGACCCCGTTATGGAGCAAGTCTCCCTGCTTCTCAGGGTGGGAAGTGTGGCCACCACCCCTTCCCACCACCCAGCTCCTGCTGCAGCCACCCATCCCAGAGCTCACCTGCAGGGCCAGGGGATGGGAATGCCGGAGGCTGAGCTCAGCCCTGGCACAAGCCCCACCCTGATATTCCCAGAGAGCAGGGTTTCACCTCTGCAGGAGGAACTCCTCGTGCAAAGAGCAGCTCCAGCCAAGAAAGGAGCAAGTTCCACAACTCACCCAAGTGCCCCATCAAAATAAATGGCTTTTTCTTCAATAAGATCTATAATTCCTTTAAAGTCTCCCTCCAGCCCAATTGGACTCTGGACAAAAGCTGCATTGTGTTTCAACTTGGACCTGAAAGAGGGAGAAAACAGAAATTAGTTCAAGAAAAGTGTTGTTTTTATGGGTCTCCTCCAGATGGTCTTTAAACAACCTCCCACAAAATCCCTGGATTTCAT